AGATGATCCAACTTCCTCCCCCTGCCTACAACCCGGGGACTCATTTCCAGTGCTGCAGATCCAAGCGCCACATCCAGTCTTTCCTGGTTTTTTGACTTAGAAACTGGGAAGCCTGGCCAGCACAGTGGCTCACACCTGTAATCCCAGCACATTGGAGGCTGAGATGGGCAGATCACTTGAGCTCAGGAGTTTCGAGACCAGCCTGGCCAACATGGTGAAATCCCGTCTCTTACTAAAAAATACAAAAATTAGCCGGGTGTGGTGGTGTGGGCGCCCTGTAATCCAGTTACTCAGGAGCGCTGAGACAGGAGAATCACCTGAACCGGGAGGCAGTGGAGCGGCGAATGAGCCAGATTTGTGCCACTGCCCACTCTAGTCTGGGCAACAGCGAGACCCTGCCTCAAACCAAACAAATGAAAAACTAGGGCCGGCGCGGTGGCCTCAAGCCTGTAATCCCAGCAACTTTGGAGGCCGAGGCGGGCGGATCACAAGGTCAGGAGATCGGAGACATCCTGGCTACATGGTGAAACCGCCGTCTCCTACTAAAATACACAAAAAACTAGCCGGGCATGGTTGGTGGGCGCCTGTAGTCTCAGCTACTGGAGGCTGAGGCGGAGAGATGGCGTGAACCCGGGGGCGGGAGCTTGCAGTGAGCCTGAGATCAATGCCACTGCACTCCAGCCTGGGAGACACAGCGAGGAACGTCTCAAAAAAAAAAAAAAAGAAAAACTAGAAACCCCAAAGTGACTGCTTACCTGTGTCTCTAGTGGAACTGGTTCTTCCTTGGTGAGGGTGGGAGGTTCATCAGCCACTTCCGAGGAGGGTAGGGAGGGCTCTGAAAAGGCAGCAGGGTCGGCCTGAGGGCAGGGGTCCCCTGAGGCCTGGACCTGGGGGAGCTTCCTTAGAGCTGTGTGGAGGTGGCTTGGTGAGGAGGGGAGAATACTGGCCTGAGAAGCAAACATTCATTCAGGGCCCAGCTGGACCAGGTCACAGTCATGAATGGTGGAAGGGCAAAATACTGCTAGACTGCAGAGGGCCATCTCTGCTGGGCTGGAGATATCTGGAACCCACAAATCCGCTCATCTTGTCATCCTCCAGCCCAAACATTATGATTCTAACTCAATCTCCCAGTTTTCTGAGAGTTGCTATGAGGACTAGATGAAGTAATAAACACAGGAGCTAAGAACAGTGCATGCCAAATAGTAAGAACACAATAAATATTAACTACAATTGGCATTTCCCACGGAGAAACAAGTTCCATTTTGTAGTTGGCTGTTAACGGGTCACAGCACAGGAAAGCTAACAAGGGCCTAAGACACATCTATATATCCATATTATAACAAGACTGGAGGTGACAGATGAATCTTGGGGTGGCCGATGCTCCAGCCACCTTGGGGTGCAAAAAAGACATGAGCGCTCCTCTTCTCGGGAGCAAGTAGACACAGGTGCCAGGGACGGGAAGATGATGCTACAGCCCCAAGTCCTACGCCAGCCTTCCAGCCCGGAAGGCTCATGTGTGCAGGCTCTCGACCCCAGTGCTTGCCCTTACCCCAGCAACGCAGCGCGGCCAGAACCAGAATGCAATAAATAGAGGCAGGGCCAGGAGGCAGAGGGCCAGGACGGTGCTAGCTTTCTGAGGCCGTCTGCGGCACTGTGGGTTGGTCCACACAGAAGCGCTTCAGGGGTGGGGCACCTGAGTCTTCCTCTTCCTCGACGACCTAGGAGCAGGCAGAGCATGGAATGCCAGGGCCACCCCTCCCAACCAGAACCTTCCCACCACCTGAATTATAATGGGATGCCCACCCTGCTCCTTCCAGCAGATGATCCAACTTCCTCCCCTGCCTACAACCCGGGGACTCATTTCCAGTGCTGCAGATCCAAGCCCACATCCAGTCTTTCCTGGTTTTTTGACTTAGAAACTGGGAAGCCTGGCCAGCACAGTGGCTCACACCTGTAATCCCAGCACATTGGGAGGCTGAGATGGGCAGATCACTTGAGCTCAGGAGTTCGAGACCAGCCTGGCCAACATGGTGAAATCCCGTCTCTACTAAAAATACAAAAATTAGCCGTGTGTGGTGGTGGGCGCCTGTAATCCCAGTTACTCAGGGCCTGAGACAGGAGAATCACCTGAACCCGGGAGGCGGACGTGTGTGCTGAGGGCAGGGGATGGGGACTGCGGCCACAAAGGACTGTCAGCAGCTAGGGTGCCCGTGAGAGGCAGGACCACCTCAGGCA